TACTCCCTTGCCCTGAAAACTCATCGACCCCCTAGAGCTTGAGGGGCAACCAGAAGCCCTTGGCTGGGATTCATATGCAAGGCATTCCACAGTTTGTCCCAAAAGTAAGTTTCCAGTCTCAGCATTCGCTGTCCCCTGACGTGACCTCTACACTCCAGCCAGGCTCATCTGGTCACTGTCCCTGGAACACGTCTTGTCCTTTTCCTCCTGCATTATCCTGTGGATATTATTCTCCTCTCTTGATTACCTTGCCACCCTCACCATCTCTGAATCACCTCCATCCTGACTCACGTCTCCACTGCCTTTGCTGATGGTGACATCTGCCTATACTGTCATCGTGGCCCTTGGATCATTACTTGTAGGATTCTCGGTCTACACCTAATTTTCCCGAATAGATGGGACCCTCTTAAGAAGAAATGAAACATTTTGAATATTTCTTTGTGCCTTTTACAATGTCTAGAGCAAAGCTTTGGACAGTTGTTACATGATAACTAATGAATTAATCAAATATAAGTACCAAAGTACACCTTAAGGGAATTTCCCTGGCCGTCCAGGCCTTCCAGTGCAGGGGGTGCGGGCTCGATCCCTGGTTGGGGAGCTAAGATCTCACATGCCTCGAGGCCAAAAAAAAACAAAACATATTTAAAACAGGAGCAATACTGTAACAAATTCAATAAAGACTTAAAAAAAATGGTCCGCATAAACAAAAAATTTTTTTAAAAATCGGCCATACCAAACAAAAAAACACCCTAAGATCAAGAGTAAATGATTTGTGCATTACTTGCTTCTCTTGATAGTCCAGAAGCCTTATGAGGAATAGTATAGTTTGTCACTATACTAGCACTTGAAAGGGTGACTTAAGCTTTTGTGGTTAGAATCAATGAAGAAAGCCTGGGTGTGAGCCCTGAAAATCAGAACCATCTGGCAGCAGTATACACACAGTACCCACAGCTTGTGATCCAAGCTCTGCAGTGATTTCTGTAGAAGCCCGACGTCTTTATTCAGTGGAATTCATTTGTGTGCTCTCACTTGGTAGCCAGTCAGGGCTGTTCACAATAATGCAGCCAGGAGTCACGTATTTTTAGGGATAATTTATAGAGCAGCTGCTTTGAATCATGAAACTAGTGGTTCTCCGTCTTTTGAGCACTTCAGAACCTACCGAAGGCTTTGTTGTAACTCAGGTTGCTGGGCCAGCCCTCAGAGTTTCTGATTCAGTGGGTCTGGGGTGGGGCCGAGGATGCCCATTGCTACAAATTCCCAGGTGATGGCAGTGCTGCTGATTCAAGGCCCACACTCTGAGCACCGCTGGATTAGACACATAATTGGACGCATGTTCATCTCAGCCTTGGGAAACTTCCACTTACTGGTAGCACACACATAAAGTCTGGGAGGCATAAAGATGTTTTGAACATTGACCAGGCATTTTAATTTGGAACTTTAAAATACGGTTTAGTGGTTTATAAAATAAGAATTTGGTCGTTCCACATGTCCCTGAGATGGATGCCCTCTCCTAGTGCTTTTTAAAATGTCACTGTTGGAGAGTGCTTAAACATTTTAAGAGTCTAAAATATTTAGGCATTTACTCTCATAAAGCTCACATGATTTTTATTGTTTATTTAAATGCTAGTATGAATCGAAACTTTTCCAGCATATATCTTAATTTATTCTTAAAGGTCATTATAATTTGAAAGAGGGAGTAAAATATGGGCAAGTAGAAAAGTGATCGCATTTTAATTAATTACAGTCATCTGTAGCAAAACAAATCCTTGCTTTGACCTGATGTAGCATTTTATTTGAGGTTTACTCCGAAATTTATTGAAGCCATGCTCTTGGTACTTTGAGGATTATTACTGACAACATTTTGTTTCTGGGTAAACTGAGGCCTGATTAATGGTCCTAACTAAAGTTATGATGTAGAAATTCATGAACCTGTGCCCTGATCTGAGAATGCTCCTGTCTTTGGGTTTCTGTTTAATTCTTTGCCTCCTACTGTATTTTGTTTTCTTTATCAAGAAGCTTGCTTTTGAAGGGCAGGCCCTAGGGGTATCCAGTGTTTTTCAACAGCAGGGATGGGAACGAACCTCTAAAATGCCTTCCTAAATGCCTATGAGATTGTATACGGATGTCCCACTAATGCTTATGACTGGGTGGTAAGAGTATGTCATTCATTCCTTTTCTGATTTAAATAACTATATAATTTATCATTTTTTGTGAAACTTGTATTGCTTTTGTAATCAGGTTAACATAAAGACATAACATTGAAAACAAAAGAGTTAGATACAGAAAACCATCTATTTTGCCACTACATTGGTGTTTAAAATAAGAGATAGACCAGTGAGAAAGTTCAGGAGGAAAGAATTGCAGGTGCCTTCTCCAGACACAGGTAGAGTGATGGAATTGGAACTTCTCATCTCGTTAGCTGGGAAGAGGAGGAGAGAAGAAAGGAAAGAGATGTATAATAAGAGAGTGGCCCTGACAATGCATCGCCAGGAGCCTGAGGTGGACGGACTTGCTATCCTGTCAGAGAAAAGAGACTTCAGTGCTGACTGTAAAATGAGGCTGTAGAAACACATTTTGTTGTAGATCTCTCCCAGACCTTCCAGAGCATGCACGTTTAGTCATGCCTTCCCCGCATTCAGTCAGAGGACACTTTCTGAGCACCTGCTCTGGGCCACGTGTTGCTAGTCCTGGGAATTTCTCTCCACAGGCTTCTCCCTGCCTACGTGTGTTCAGCCCTTCTCTGTGTTTTAAAAATGAAATAACAATATCTTATTACTCCCTGGAGCTTCTAGTTTTTCCTCGTATTTATTTTGATGACAGGGTACTTGAAAAAACACTGTTCATTGATCCCTTCTGCAAATATTTACCCCCAGGTGTCCGGCAGTGTGCTCAGCACGGGGGGGTGGGGGTGGGGGGGTGGCGGGGGGGGGTGCACGGTGGCGCTGCTCGCTGGGTTGTCCCTTCTGACCAGAGAGAAGGCTCTTCACCGTATTCATCTGTTTCCTCATCGCTCACTTGCTCCTTTATCTCTCGAAGGCTTCTGCTTCTCCAACACTGTGCTAAAAGCACAGGGCCCTAAAGACCCAGCCCTCTATCGGTCTTTTCCAGAACGAATTTTGCTTGATCTCTTAGCGGGGTCAACACTGCAGCCTGCCCCTCTGCCATCCCTGTCAAATTTGTCCTCCGTGGCCTTGCGTTCTCTCCTCCATCCTCCAGGGTTCTGGCCTTGGCGCTCTTTTCTCCTTTCAGAACATACTCTTCCGTAACAGCTCCCTCCTCTTCCCGGATGCAGCCAGTGTCTCCCTGCGGTGACTTCTGAATCTCAGCTTCCAACCTCAGCCTCTCCCATGAGTGCAGGTGTCGCCTTTCTCGGCCTGGCTCCTCTCCCCCTTGTCCGTGCCCCTCTGGCCCCTTGCGTGATGAAGCCGACTTACCACCTGCATCTCTGCTGCCCCCCCAGGCCTCCTGCTCTTCCTCTTTGGCTTTTCCTGCGTCTCTGCGTCCTGATGCCCCTCAGTCCTGCAGTTCTCTTGAGCTCATCTCCCCCGTGTCTCTGGTATTTGCAGTCTGCTGAGTCTCTCCCTGACGGCTTCAGTGGCTGCCTGGTGGCTCTCCCTGCCTCTGGGCTCTCTTCCCTTTGCTGTCTTAAGATTTGCCATCAGTTGAATCACTCCAAAGCACAGCTCTGATCCTCTGTGCTCCTTGCTCAGATATCCTCAGTGGTTCCCACCACAGCCTGGAAAGAGTTCAGAGAGCTGGTCTGAGGCTTCCCCTTGCCTGGCTGCAGTCGGCCTATCAGACTGGCCCTCTTTTGCCCTTTTCGCAATTCTTAACCCGACAGCCCTGTCCATCACTCTCAAGGTCCCCTCCCACTTTCCTGCTTCCATCCCTTTGTCTTTGCTGCCCTGTTCTCAGTACTCTCTTTTTCTCATTTTCACCTATTTCCTGCTCCTCTTTTAAAGTACAATGCAGGTACAGTTTTTTTCTGTGACGGTCTCTGTAATTCCTTTCTAGGTTGCATGTCATCTTTCCAGCCTTTGAGTTTCCATAAAAGTTTATGGGTGTTCCTGTATGAGAGTCCTTGTTATAATTTGTAATCCCGTCGTCCATCCTATACTGTAGACTCCCAGTGGGCAGGGGCAACCTTATACCTTGCAGCCATTTTAGGCACTTGGCCAACTCTTAGAACATTGTTTAATAAATGTCTATTGGAGAGATGACTTAGGAGTCCATTCAATTGTTTATTGGAATTGACAGCTTAACATCTAGACCCTGGGTCGGCAAACTTCAGCCTGCGGATCACTTTGGCCCACTGCCTGTGTTTGTGAATAAAGTTTTATTGCAACACAACCATGCAGCAGCCTGTACATTCTGCAGAGGAATGGCCACCAAGCCTAAAAGAGTTACTAACTGACCTTTTACAGAAGTTTGTCTCCCAGGGTCTATACCATTGTCCAGACTTCAGGATTCGGTATCAGCGGTTAGAAGGAAGTGAAGGAAACGATGTTTTCTTAAACTCTTAGCCTCTTGCTTTGGCTCTCGGATATATCTGTGTGGACATACACATAGAAAGGGCACTAGGATTTTTTATTACTTTATTTAAAGTGAAATACAGTTGATTTTGTTGTAAGACTGTTGCAGACAGCCAAGTTAACTATATTTGATCTCTGATTTCTTGACATTAGGGTAGGAATGTCTAGGTAGAAGTTACACCTGGTCAGGCTTTATGTGATTAAAATGACCCCTGCCTAAAATGTTTTTGGTGTTCTCAGTAAAAATAATCATCAAGGGCCTGCCAGCTGTGCCGCCAGAGTTACGCCAGCCTCAGGAACCCTGCTGTATTCCGACCGCAGGAGCAGTAGCATGCCCAGGTGCCTTGGTCTAACGCTCTGCAGATCTTGAGGAGGAAGGCCCTACGCTGGCAAGGTTTAGAGGTAAAGTTCTGTAGGCCCCCATATTAATACCATGTTGTCTTTTTCTTTCTTTCCGTTTTTTCTTAGTAGAGGGCCGGGTGGCCATCCAGGATATTCCTGCTGCCACCAGCAGAGGGCACGTGGAGAACACACCTGACCTCGTTTCCGACTCCACCTACTACAGCAGCTTTTACCAGCCGTCTCTGTTCCCTTACTACAACAACCTGTACAACTACCCGCAGTACTCCATGGCCTTAGCCGCTGACTCCCCCTCCGGGGACATGGGAAGCCCTCTCGGGGGCTCCCCTGTGAAGAACAGCCTTCGGAGCCTCCCAGCGCCTTATATGCCCGGTCAAGCGACAGGAAACCAGTGGCAGGTAAGATGTTAGCAGAGCGTGAACTGGGTATGTGAAAACCACGCACGTAAGCACACACTCACAGACGCGCACGCCCAACTCAGCACACATGTGTGCCATTATGCAAAACGTGTAGAAAGTTTTCACTCTACCCATAACATCATTTAACCCCAGAGGTTGACTGCAAGGAATTGTAAAGAAATCTGGATATATTTGTTTCTGTTTTCAAATTTTACCTTTCTCATTCCTTCGATGTCATTTTGCATAAATACCCAGTTGGCCAGAATCAGCTTCACAAGTGGCTTATGTAAGAGGCCACATCTCCTCTAGGCTTATCCCCACGCTTTAGAGCCGCTTAGAAAATGCTGGCTGTGGTCTTCTGGGTGTTAGTAATCCCAGTGATGAATTTCGACCCTGGACGGGAGATGTGTTCTGATCTGTATGTTTGCATGGAAGGAAGGTGAGAGAAGAACTAGGTCACTGCTGTGCTGGGCCCGCTTGAGGGCATTTTCAGCTGGGAATGGAGGTCAGTCTTTCATATGCTAAGTATGTGCTTCTGAAATAGTGTGCCATCGAGAGCTTTTAATATTGGGGATAAAACAAAGCATTTTGCGTTATCAGGGAGTGTTTATTCAGCACTGTTCCGCTTCCTCAGTTTTCACCATTTCTATCATGCCAGTGTATCAGCAGCAGATTCAAGGCCTGGAAAACATTCACAGGCTGGATTACCGTGTTGTGGGAATGTGCATATGCATGAGCACTTAGACTCTGCTCCTCCAAGCACCCCTCCAGCTGTAAGATACCAATTCTGAGAGAACTGTTCTCATTTTGGATGCCTTTACTGTGCTTGGGCTTTCCCAGCTAGGCTTTGATTCCAGCACAATGCAGCGTATGTATGTGGGAGTTTAGGGTAATTGACCTTCTTATACTCACTTTTAAAAAATGTGCATTGACGTTTTCCTCAGAGCAATTCTATTCCATTTTGCATTTGTAGATGTGGGGAAGTTGTGGATACTCACATCGCCCCATTTTTTGGACTCTCACACTAGCCTTAGGGATCTGACTTCCTCGGCGTGTTAACGTGTCAGCTTTAATTCCCTGGGCTAATCATCTTCATAAGTTTTCTATACCTTTTAATTTTAGAATCAGACTTTTAAAAAAGGCGTTGGAACTGAGAGGTGATATGAGTATAAAGGAAATGCGATGATTTATGGATCTTCCGGCTGGACCCCTACAGGCCTTTCAGAGTGCCAGTTGGATTTTATGATTTGGGGCAGGTTTTAGGTTGATTTCTGTTAGAGACTGTCCTCTAAGAAAGGAGAAAGAAGTAGCTTATAGTTCTTAAAAACCAGCTCATCCTACAGATTCCCATGAGCCAGGGACGACTGCTGGAGTATCCTGGTTTTCTGGCTACTTCCAGGCTTTAAGGAGAAATTAGGGAAGGTCTCTGAACCTGTTGGCTTATGAGGAAAAGGATGAGAAAGAAAATTCTTAAGTGTCTTCTGAAAGAAAGAGAGCTCACACTCAGCAGCATCAGAAATCTTCTAAGTTAATTGACCCCCCACTCTGTCAAGACCTTTCCAATGGCGTGAGATGGCTGACACACTAACGTTTGTTCTTAACTCCACCTGGAAGGCCTGGGGAGGGGGTAGCAGAAGACTTGGATTTGCTTGGAGGTCTCTTGCCAAGGTCCACCCTCTGGGGGACCCGGGACAGCCAAGAGGAGACATTCTCTTGGGCAGTAGCGTTGCCTGGTATTGGAGCGCTGCCTCAGCCGCTGTGTGCGAGGAGAGATCCCCCTAAGGGCAAGTTCTTGTACCCCTGCTGCCAAGGGTGAGAGGAAAAACGTTACCCAGACTTTCTTAGTCATGTGGGGGGCCTGCAGTTCTGATGCTGTTGGCGCCTTCCCTAGAACCACCGCTTACTAGACTGGAGAGAGGGGCCCCTGGTTAGAGGCCCAGGAGAGAAGCCAAGGCCTCATTTAACATAAGAGCTTGTTTTCAACGAGGTCTGGACTCAATCTAATTTCCTAGTCAGTTTTCACCATTGGTAATATATTCCCATCTTAACAGATTATTTTGCAGACATTTTACAAGTCTGTGGATTAATCTTGTAACCAGACCTGATCCCGAGCTTGACTTACAACCTTATAGTCACAGGCACAAAAATTATTTCTCTTGGAAATAAACTCTAACGTGAAAAATATAAGAGCCAACATGCATATAAGCCATCATTTTGCAAAAGGACAGGTGAAAGTCAGTCCAGTGATGGTCAGTCAGTCCCGTGATGGTCAGAGCCGAAATGGATCTTACAGAGGTCCCTTTGGCTGAGATCTGGAGCTGGGGTATCTGCCCAGCACCTACAGCTAGTTGATGACAGAGCCTTGTCCAGAAACTAGGCCTGTAGATTTAGGGAAACAGCACTGTGTGTTTTGAGACACATGGAGTCTGGCGCTTGGAGTTCTATATTCAATTCTAACTTGTGATTTAACTGTTGTGTAGCCTTGAGGAAAATACTTAACCCTCTGAAACAACCCTCAGTTGTTTTGTCTGTCAAGTGGGCATAGTACCACCTTCACAGAACTGTTGCATGAATACATAAGGCAGCGTAATGACTGAAGTGTACGTGGAAGTTTCTGTGTGTACCAGCAAATGCTATGCTGATATTAACTTCTTGTGAATTTATTTCATTAACCATCATTTTCTCTTGGCCCTGCTCTTTTCTGAAATCTATTTAATTTTCAGCCTTTTGTTCATATGTATTTTAGTTAGCTACCTCCTTATTACCCCCTTTGTAATAAGATGGGGTATACATAATGCACATTTTTGTTAGTGTTGAAAGACCATGACATGTGAATATGGACCAAGTATGAATGTATACGGAATAATTTTTATCAGGGATGGGGAAGAATTTGATCTACTTAGGAAATTGAAAACTGGAAGCATAGACAAAGATTATGGCGTAAAATATGTTTATTAAGGTGTATGTGTTATAAAGAAGTATTAAATAGAAAACACCTACAAATAATACTTATAACCAATGTTTAAGGGATAGGAACTGTACAGCTCACTTTTTCACCAAGTCACTATGGCAGAGGTATAGGGAACAGTGATCTGGGGCAGGGCCTCCTCGTGACCTTGCTATTCCTATTGTTTCAGGAGGGCGCCCTGGCTCTGCTCTTCAGACAGTGCCTTGCCTCCTTCTGGTGGAAGCCTCCCTGTGGAGGTCAGGGAAGGGATCCCCTCTTGGTTGTAGCCATGCTTTCCTGTCTCCTTTTGGAAGGTGCCCCATAGCTGTGCCTGGAGGGCACTGAGCTGGTCTCTCACACTGGACCTTCCCCCCAGCCCGGTCTGACCCCAGCTCTACCTGAAGGGCCTGAATCTTAGGCAGCATCTCCTCCATCTACTGTCTTGACTCTGTTGCTAGGACCTGACTTCCCTTCTAACTCTTCACCAGAGCGATAACTTTCATGTTATCCTCCTTCCCTTGGTGCTCTGGGTAACAGTGTGTTTGGGGGGAGCAGTGTGAAAAGTTTTCAGAACAAAGGGCTCCTTTGTGATTCCTAGAAAAAATCGACTCTTGGGGCTTCCCTGGTGGCGCAGTGGTTGAGAGTCCGCCTGCCGATGCAGGGGACACGGGTTTGTGCCCCGGTCCGGGAAGATCCCACATGCCGTGGAGCGGCTGGGCCCGTGAGCCATGGCCACTGAGCCTGCGCGTCCGGAGCCTGTGCTCCGCAAGGGGAGAGGCCACAACAGTGAGAGGCCCGCGTACCACAAACAAACAAACAAACAAAAAAATCGACTCTAGTGGAGATTGTTATAATTTTTTAAAGCCAGACTTCTTAGAGATTAGTGGGGAGGGTACTGAATTATTTACAAAAAGAAATCATTGACTTTTTATTGTAGAGTTGAGATTTCCTGTAAGTCTCCCTATAAAGTCATGCAAGCCACAGATGATTATTGAGCACCTACTAAGTACAAAACCTAGTTAAAGAAAAAGAAAAAGCTAGAGCAGTCAACTGGGCCAGCATCCCAGAATCCCAAGGCTCTTTCCCAAGTGTTGATGCCCTGCGTGCATGCTGAGAGCTGCTTTAATTGCTTTGGGTCTGTCTCCAGCCTCTGGAGATTTGTGGCCCAATCACAGATTCCTGTCATGTTGTGAAACAGGAATAACATTTGTGACACTGGAACAAACTCACGATGAATGGCTGGTTCCACTGACCAGCAGCTCAATTTCACTTCTGCATTTAATTGCCTGCAAAAGCTGTTTATTGCCTGGTGCACTCCTTCAAGGCAACATTACCTCTTAAATAAACATGTTGTACCAGGTTGACAAGGGAGAGGTACATATCAAGTGAGCAGAAATAAATATGGGAGGACTCCGAGCTGTATCTGGGATCCCCCTGGTGGGCACCCCCTTGATTGGCTTTTCTGAAGCTTGTGCCACCAAAGGTGGAGACGGCCGTTCCAGCCACAGTTGGGGTGTGGTCACATGGCAGAAGAGGTGATTCCTTCCTTCTGGTCATTCTTTGGGGCTCAGTCTGAAGTGTCTCAAGATACGGTGGCCCGTTTATGATTATGCACCTCACTGGAATGCATTCAATTATTAGATAAGCATGCATCCAGGTTCCACCATGTGCTAGGGATCTACCACTGACCCAAATGGACAGAAATGCAAAAAGTAGGTCTTGGGGGAAGGCTGTTATCACCTGGTACATGAGAAGGAGGTTGGGGATCATCTAAGTGCCCTGGCTTTGAAACTGAGACGCAGGCAGGCAGGAAGTCAGAATCTGACCTAGGCCTTGGAGCCCAGAGAACGGCGCCCCTTGTGGGCATTACTGGGATGCGGCCCGTCAGGGCACTTGGAAACGCCGCCCCTGTTGACTGTGCTGCCTGCCCACTGTTGTTCTCCATCCTATACGAGCAGCCTGTGGGAGCCCTGGTTTTCACACTGCCTCCTCTTTTTATGAGCGTGGTTCGGTCGAGCCTGTTAGCTCGAACAGCTAAGAAGTGACTTCTGGC